ACGTGATTGTAAAAGAAACTTAGATCGTTCGAATTCTAACAACGACCTAAGACAACCGGAAAGAGTGCATTGTACCATCTGCAAACTGTTGAAAAGTGTTCTGTACAAACTTTGTATAAGTATCAAGGAGTGAATGTTATAAAATAATTGAAGTAGTGTATTCTATAAACAAATTAAAAAGCTTGTCAATATTATTCAATATCTTTGATTTTGAGTATGGTTGTATCAAGATAAGATCCAGGGTACAATTTTCACATGGTAGCAGAGTGTGGTTGGAGAACTTGAATAACTAAAAAAGGATTAGCTTGGAAGTTGGTGCCTTGCAGTTGAAAAATAACGACAGATGTCACAAACTGGAACAATGGCGGAACAACAAAATGAGCTGAACTCCATAGAAAAACTTAAGGATTCAGAGGGTTACTCTCTGTGGAAGTTTCAAATAGATATTCTGTTGAAAGCGGCGGGTATTTACGGACACGTTGACGGTACAGAATTATGCCCTGAACCGGTAAAAGGAGAAGGTAAAACTGCAGTTGAAAATATAATTTCTAAATGGAAAAGACAGGATGCCAAGGTTCAAAAAATCTTAATTACTACAGTAGATAAAAGCGTGCTCATACATTTAATGACCAAAAGTACGGGAAAAGAAATGTATGACGCACTAAAAAGTATTTTTGAGCGTGATACCGATACCTTGAAATGTACGTTGTTAAGTAAATTCTATCAACTCAAATTTGATGATAGACAATGTGTTGCAGAAAATGTTGCATCACTACAAAACATTGCATTCAGGTTAAAGTCTTTAAACGAAAATGTATCGGATACTATGCTAATGTCAAAAATATTATTAATGTTACCTGACACATGGTCGCAGCAAACACATTGATGTGCGGTATTATTTCATTTGTGAAAAATTAAGTGAAGGTGTATTTGATTTGATACATTGTCCCACCGAATATCAAATAGCCGACATACTTACTAAGCCATTATTGCCAATTAAATTTAAACGGTTTAGGGATGTGTTAATGAACTGAAAGTGATGAACATTGTTGTCTTAACCCATATAAACTTCTCTGTAACTTACATATCATTCCTTCCTTCTTTGGATAACCTTCCGGAATTTGCATGAATGTTTCGTCGTTCAGTTCCCCATGAAGAAACGCTGTTTTTACATCAAAGATTCTTATTTTAAATTCTTTAGCAGCCGTTATCGTAAGAAGTATTCGCAAACTTGTCATATTTACCACAGGACTATATGTTTCTTGAAAATCTATTCCTCTTTCTTGTTGAAAACCTCTTACAACTAGTCTAGCTTTCCTGGTTCCATTTTCTTTTTCTTTGAAAATCCATTTACTATTCAAAATTTTTCTGCCTTTCGCTTCTTCGGTTTTTACAAGAATCCAGGTTTTGTTTTTCGCAAGAGACATTTTTTCCTCATTTATCACTTTCTCCCAAAGCTCTTTATCTACACTTTTCATTACGTCAGTGTATGTTAACATAACGTAATCATTAAAATATGCTGGTCGTCCCAGACGAGTTCGATCTCTTAGTGCTAGAAAGCACTTTCTGTTCAGATCTGCATTATTTCCTTCTTCAGAATCCGTGTCGTCCATGATATCAGAATTAAAATGATTTTCGTCACTGTCATTCTGATATTCTGGCAACAGCATATCATTATACGACTCATCAGCATCACCATTACATTCTTGTTCCAGCAAATCCAAATTAACAATTTGTGGTTCTCTAACAATCTGAGAAACATCTTCAGATGATTTTGTTTCTTTTACAAATTGCACATCTCGTGAGATTACAATTCTTTGTTTGTTTTCATCCCAGCAACGATATCCAATTGCTGAATAACCAACCATTTTCAATTTTACCGATTTTGATTCCAATTTCTTTGTACTCGGCAAAACCTTTACATACACGTCACTACCAAAAATTTGTAAATTCTTCAAATTTGGTCTAATGCCTGTCCAGGCCTCAATTGGAGTTTTACCAATTATCGCTGATGATGGTGACCTATTTGTTACATAACAAGCTACTCTTAATGCTTCATTCCAGAACGTCTTTTCAATTTCAGCGTCAAACAACAGTGCACGCATTTTTTAGCACAATGTACGATTTAGACGTTCCGCTTTTCCATTAAGCTGTGGACTGTACGGAGTGGTCCATGTGAAAGTTGTACCCTGGATCTTATCTTGATACAACCATACTCAAAATCAAAGATATTGAATAATATTGACAAGCTTTTTAATTTGTTTATAGAATACAACTACTTCAATTATTTTATATAACATTCACTCCTTGATACTTATACAAAGTTTGTACAGAACACTTTTCAACACTTTCCATTCTCTTTGCCATTCCTCTAATTTTTCTCTTCTCATTCTGACGGGTGTCTCCTCTCCTCTCCCAACAATCTTATGGGTATAGTGCTGGATCTTAAAAATAGAGCTTTATTGGGTTGTGTGCGATATGCCCCCGATATGCACAGCGCCATCTTCATCTGCAGTTTGTCTAATTTGCTTTTAGTACATTTACATTTAGTGTCCTTGTTCCATATTTCACTCCCGTACATTACCACGTTGTTAACGACCACAATTCCAGAATAACTTTTGTATGCTCGTTGTTGCTTTCTCTGCCTTTTCTATTGCTTTTTTGGTATGTCTAATATATTCCAGGTTTCTATCTAGTCTAACTCCTAGTATCCTGTTTTTGTTTAATTCGAGCCTTGGCTTGGGAATATCGATTTATTGTAGGTTTTCCGGACAGAACGTTGGAATTGAGATCACTTCCGGCGTCGCGCCCTGCATTACTCAGGGTCACATTTGTTCTTATGTTGTTAATTTGTTACTTGTTCTTGGCATTATCGGCGCGAATGTTTGCACGGAATATTTTACTTATTGAGAATCGTTGTGAGATTCAGTCAATCACTTTTTTTCGATTATTGAGTCAGGGGATTTATTCATTTGGGGGAATTAATTGCGAATTTTATTTGAAGTTTAACGTAATCGTGTGGAATTCACGGGAAATATTTTGTATTGAGAGGAAACTCAATTTACATTTATTAAATTTATTTTGATTGTCGTTCAAGAATAATATATCAGTATTTTCGCATTGAATGTTATTATTACTTCCCTGGTATCTTCTCCGGTTTATACCAGGTTAGTTAAACTGGGTGGCGCTCAATTCTATGCGAGGAGGTTAAGAAGCTCACTCTTTGACCATCCTTCTGTCCCTCTGTCTCTTGCTGTTCTACTTCATATGTTCTTTGATTTCTACTTTTTCCACCTCTTTCAGTGTTTCTCGTTTCAGTGTCAGAGTTTCCACTCCACTTATGTTTTTCATTATTTCGTTAATCGCGAGTGTTATTCTTCTAACTGTGTTTTTGTTTTCGCCTTGGCCTTCGATACTACCTAGGTCGCGACCTTCAATTTTCGTTCCCTTCGTTTTCAATTGTTCGGGTTTTCATCGCCCCCTCATTTTTTAGCATTTGGTTTGTCGTGTTCTTGGTTTTTCTTTACACATTTCCTGAAAAGTGGAAAGTGTGTCCAATAGGTATCCTTGCACCGTTAGGGCGTTGTGCGCGGGTGCACCATCCTGTTGCAACCAACAGTGTCTATCTTTTTTTGTATGCTGTACATCGTTGTATTCGTAATCAAAAACCTTAAAGCCGGACTCTCTCATTAGAGACCTCTTTTATTGCAGACATCTTGAGAACCGAAGGTCAATTAGGTAGCGTCGAGTTGTTAGCGGAGGCCCGCACCATGGCGAACTTATCATTTGCTAACATGGCACTATGTACGAGTTAAGTCACCCTGACGACACATAATCAAAAGCGCCAAAGCGCCACATACGCCATCCTGGTAAAGCAGTGCTAGGACATCTTCTGAACAAAAATGTTAATTCCATCCTCTTATATAGGTGTGGACGCAAATTGTAATTGTAAGCGTAATTCCAAAACGAAACCGCCCAATTTTTTTTCACGTACATAGTTAATTGTATATCGATGCGCTGTTTATGACAAATGTCTTCACGACACTCTCGTTATTTATCACTTGGCATTGCTTCTGATAAATTCTGAAGTGAATACTCAATTATTCCGGAAAGATCTACAGGGTATGGGGGAGGGGAGGGATAAGTGTACCCCGCACCCTTCATTATCGTAACGCTAAAGATGTAATTATAAGATATTAAATACATAACGCGAGAGATCTAATTCTAATTTTTGCAAGAGAAGGCGAATGTGGTCTCCTTTATTCTTGACACTCCCCTTAGTTACTCCCGAGAGAGCAATAACAGGGTGCACATTTTATCAAATTGGACGTGGATGTTAATTTATTGTTGGATAGGGAAACCGATTTGTTAGTGTAATTTGTTTCTCGATATCGTCATAGGAACGAAAATAACCTCAAATGCGTAGAAAAACAAACAAGTTTGAACTTTGAGATCTATAACAGTTCAAAAATTCCAAAAAAAAACTGTTTAATGTTTAATACTGATTGTAACTTCGGAGTAATCAAGTCCTTTCAGTTCGAAAATATTTGCTTTTTAATATCTTTTACTTTTTGGGGAAGAATAAATCAGAAATTTGTGTAGATATGGCGACACTGACACAATTTTACTACCAGCACTACGAAATCTAGTTATAATTCCCTGCAATAATGAAAAATAAACACGTTTTCCCATGCGATCGTATAGGAAGAGAAAATCTGAAAATATCGAAATACAGTGAAAATTCCTATTTCTGAGTAAATCCACACGCGCTCGTATTTCACAGCAAGTAAATACTTAAGCCACTCGACCTCGACAAGTTCCTTTTTGAGTTGCGAACAAAATTCGAACGAAATCCCATTTAATACCGACATTTTCTTTCGATGGATATCGTTTACAGTACATTGCGAGAGAAAAAAGCATTTTAAAAGCCTTCAAGTGTTAAAAAGCGAGCGACAAGCTACCTATCTACAAATGGAACATGAAAATTTGTATTCACTTACTTGGCTCGGATATGGGAGTAATAGGACTATCTGGAAGAAGTATCCCTTTCTGGACCAGCTCGTCCCTATTGGCTCGGACAGAAATTTTTCTTTCTAACGCTGAAAGGAAACACACACATAACAATACCCAAACGACACAAACTTACTTAATTGAAATAGGCTCTTGCTACAAAGAAAAGCGATCAGCGTTTTACTAGGTAGACACAAAATTGCGAAAAAACGTAAATAAGTAATAGCAAAATTTTACTCACTTCTGGAAACTGCCTCTAGCTTATCCGACTTCTTTTTCCGTTTCCATTTCCACGGTTTAAATAATTTTCCTAAGGCCGAAAATTTACTTTTTCTTTCTAAAGGTGGCGTCCTCGTCCCACTTCCGAGACTATTTGTTCTAAACGCGGTGCCATTCTGCTTCTTTCCTGAAAATAATGGAGTTATTAGTGAAGGGGAAAACGAAATCGGGATGGGGATTTGTCGCAAACAATCAATACGCGTTGCATAAAAATGACGGACGTGAAAATTCCATTTCGGAAACAAAAACGTTTTAGTGCAGATATAAAAAGGTATCATCAATTTAATTGCGCCGCGTTTCGTCGCCGTAAAATTCAATTATAAAATTTTAGTCTCTTTGCTTGGATCAGCTGCAGTGGAAGTTTTATGTGAACGGCATTAAAGCGCTGGTGCTGAAGTGTGAAAACTTGTTCGTGAGAGCGCGTCGTAAAATTAATGGGAAAATGATAAAACTAAATAGTGACCAACGTCAAATCGTATCGACTGGATCGGCATCTGCATAAAACGGAAACGTTAAATCTGAGAGCAAAATAAGAATCATGGGCAATGAAAAGAAATTACAACTCCCTTTGCAAAACTTCGAAAACAATGAGCCAACCATCTAATTGTGCCTTTATAGTATTCCTCGCTTCCCTATAATTCGCTCACGAGGCGTTGGGTACCTAATTGTTTAGATTTCACTTCGACATCTTGAAATGACAAAGGTTTACGTTTGACACTCCCTTTAACATCCCCCTATGCCGTCGGAACAAAGGTGCGTAAAGCAAAATCACAATCCGAGAAAGCATTATGAGGGCCATAGCAATTGTCCCCCGAGCTTTTATTTTTAAAGAATTTTGGCTAACAAATATGAGATTATTTTTTTTAGTTGACGGTCGTTCGTTCGTTCATCTCAACAAAAAATTTCAATATCGTTATTTCTGCACCAATTTTGTAGGGGAAACGTCCAAACGCATTACTTAAATGCTATCCATGTGTATTTCGACCAAATTATTGCACTTCATCCGTGCCGTCATAGATCTCCTATAAGTGACTTTCCCCAATCGATGGATATTTTTTCTATGGAGGCATCTTAAAAACTTGGTATCTTTGTGACTAAAAAAACGCATTTGAAATTTTTGAAAAATCATTAAAAATGCAAAGATATCACCGAAAATGTGAAATTTCGATTTCATGTCAGAGAATATGAATCTGTTATCAGAATTTCCATAACACGCTAGATGTAGAAGCTACAGGCTACTATATACTTTCTTATGGACGCCATATTGGAATTTTACGGAATGAGATAGAGGACAACAAAAAATTCAATTGAATACATCGCCATCATAGCCATGTTGATTCAGCAAGATCAGGACCCGCGTTTTTCGTCCTGTATGTCGTTCAGTGATAATCAAACACAGCGCCTATAAGAAATAAGAAAGTTGTAGCCTACAGCTTCGACATCCAGCGTGTTAGAAAAATTTTGATCACGGATTCAGATTCCCTGAAAAAAGTGACCCTATAGGGTGCTAACGGCAATGGTCCACTTCCGACCATTGAAGTTGGAGAAAAGAAAACGAAATTTGACATTGTCCGTTTGTTTTTTGATATCAGTGATTTTCAAAAATTTTAAATGAGTTTTTTAAATCACAAAAGGGGGCAACTTTGCTTCCAGTTAATCTACATCGTATCTCTCACTGTTACAGGTATAATATAATTATATTACAAAAATATAGATTGTGATACATCAATGTAATCAAGAAAAAATTAACAAACTACCGTTAAAATATTCAGGGTGTCGCATTAAAAAAAATCAATATTGGGTCAAATCTCAGAAACTGTAGTTAAAAAAGTTTGTTTACTACGTCACTGGACTTTATGTAAAAATATCTAAAATATGCAATTTTTACCTTTTTTTATCTTACATGGGTGATAGGATATATCCCAAAAGATCAAACTTTTCGTTTTCACCCTGTATCTTAGAAACAAACGTAGATAAGATTGAATGATTTTCACTAAAAAGTGGCACAGGGTTGCGAAAAACGCTAGTCTCTATCTTTAAAAACAGCTGAGATACACTGCTGTCTCCACCTAAATGGGACACAATGTACACTAATATTTTCAGTAATTTCAAAAGATAGTTTTCCTTCATTAATTTTCGTAATTTTGTTTACTTTTTGGTACTTTTAGATGATTTTTGATACTTTTCGATACTTTTTGGTTTCGCAGTTTGTAATGTTTCCACTTCTAAACTGTCATAAAATACCTACTACTACTACTGAGTTGTTTCCTTTTCATATAATAGCCAAAATAATATGTAGTATATACAGGGTGTTCCTGAATATTGTGTACATACGGAAAAGGCTAATTCTTTGTTATTTTATTATTAAAAGTTCATATAAACATAGGTCCGGAAACGCTTCGGTACCGATATACAGGGTGTTATAGTTTCACAAGTTATTTTCCTTATATCTCCTGCAAACACAAGATACAATTTCAAATCCGAACTGTCAAAATTAATAAAAACAAGAGATTATCCAAATGAAGCCAGAGTCTACTGAACTATTTTAAACATTTTACTAAACTTAACTATAGACAATTGAATTTTATTTATTTTTTTCGATAACGGTCGCAGATACGAAAAAATACAAGAGACCGGGTTCTTAACAAACCAGAATATTAATTTCTTTTTTTAACAATTTATCAGCGGTGCACCGAAAAAACTTCCTCTGACCACTGAAAACCATCCTCGAAACCTCTGTAGATTTTCTTCATGATTATCATGTCCAATGACGTAAGCTATTCAATGTAACTTATATTTCAAATTTGAGCTAAATATCTTAAAAACTGTAGGAGTAAGGGTTAAGTGGTAGAGCAGGGCTTGTGGGCGAATTTCGTCACTAGCATCTGAACTTTGCCCTTTTAGTTGCGTACATAGTATATGTATAGTAAACAATGTTTTATCGTAAAAATAACTTATTTATTATTATTATATGCCTAAAAAAAAATTTAAAAAATCGTGAAATTAGAACACCCCGTAGATTGGTAACGGATCTATGTTTATATGAACTCTTAGTAATAAAATATAAAATAAACCAAATAACTAATCCTCTCCGTATGTACATCAAATTTAGTAACATCCCATATACATAGAGTATGTCCCCTGATTGTTAGGTCGTCTCTTGTAAAATAAAAAATTTGGGCTTCTGGGTCCTAGGGATCGGCCCCGCTTAGTTGGAAACTAATTTGTAACATAATTTCTGTTTCGAAAAATCAAAGGTGCCTTTGATATTTTCAAAAAACGGGTTTTTTTTCATACCAGTAAAGTGCTCTTTGGAGACCACAAATGTTATTAAGAAAAGTTGTTCAGAATGAAAAACGCAGGCAAAGCTGTTTAATTCTATCCCAGTATACGTTATGGTTACTAGAAATAAAAATTTTAGAAACGCAAATTTTGCGCCTTTTGACTGCTCCGAAATATTCTTAAAATATTAGCATTAAGATTGGGAGCCCCATCAACAGATAAAGCGGAAGTGGAGAGTTATAAAACTTCGTTTCTGCAAAATAATTCCAGAACTCTAGGATCATTCCCCTAGAAGTAACTCAAAAAGGCAGAAGTGGGTCCGGACGGACAAAACGTAAACAATAGCACATTTTTTTTTATTATACCTGCATCAGAATCGCTGTTTCAAACAAAAGGCGATTAAGAGCCAATTCCACCAACAAAATTAAGTATCCCTTAAAGTTAAGCATAACTTAAATACCATAGCCACGATTGTCTTAATAATCGTTGCTATAGATTTTAAGTTCGACTTAACTTTAAGCAAGGCTTATGGCCGTTTGCACCCACAAATTTAAGTGGAGATTAGCTTAAGCGTACCTTAAAATCCATGGCAACGATTATTGAGACAATGGTTGCCATGGATTTTAAGCTACGCTTAAGCTAAGCTCCACTTAAATTTGTCGGTGCAAACGGCCATTAATTTTGTTGGTGCAACTGGGGCTTAAACACGCCGAGGTTGCTAAGTAACATTACTTCTAATATGACATATGAAACTATATTTGTAATTTAGGATGGAAATAAAATATCCTCTCGGATCGCTTTTTGCAAATGAAAAAGGTGTCTTTGGCTCGTATCCTTTGTGGGAAGCTTTCACAAACGCACGTGGTTTAGAGTAGGTATGCTGTCAAATCTATTCCACTTTCTAATCGCAATATTGATTGAAGTTTTGAATGAATGCACCTTAGGGTAGAAGATTTAAATATCTACCTTTGACATTTCCTTCACAGGTATATGACAGCATTAACGATGCATTTAAGACCATGTTTGAAAGATGGTAAGGCAGATTCCGCCAAAAACGTTTTCCAATGTTTCTCAGGCAACATTCCCTAATTGATTTATCAACGGATAAATGAGAATAAGATGACGTAATACATTTTTGACGCCGTTTAGGTGTTTCGAACCGTAGTTATAGAAGGATTATTAAAAAGAAGCCACCAACAATGGCAACACACAATATTATGCGAGTCACTATTTGAATAATAAAATTATTCAATGCTGATATTGTGTCTTTACGTATGTAGAAGTTGCGTGCAAAGTAGCACCTTCTATTGACAAAGTACAAGATTTGAGCTCTTATCCGCTGGACTATCCAGCTTTTAAAAACTAGACGATCTTTGAAAGCTGTAGAGATGAATAATCAATAGTTGTCGTTGCTTTTGCTACACACAAAATATTAATTGTAGTTATTTTCAACCATTTTTTCAATGAGGTGAAAGGTTTTTCAATACCATCGAAACGCAAGCAGAGAATAAGTCCTCTTTAAACTAATAATCCTCTTTGTCTTCCGCTATTATGTGAATCGAAATAAAGTGGTCGGAATGAAAGCCAACTAATAGTCATCCTAAAAACGAGTTAAAAAAAAATGTAATAATCCCTACGTTTAGATTAAACTTTCCGCATTACATTTGAACTGTAATGTGAATTCATTGCTGAAAGTTGACTTTTTTATAACCTCTTTTAGCCTTTGACACTTCATCCATTCATTCATTTCACATTTCAGAAGCGTACGGTATCGTATTTTTATGGAAGCCTTTTTGTTGCCACTGTAATGATTTATTGATATCTTGTAAAGTGCGAGTGAACCAT